CGTTGAAGGTTTACTTATCAGTTTATCAATTCTAAACTAAGTCTGTCGCTTTAATCTTATGCTTTTTTTTTTTTTTGCTTTTTTCATTACCTTTCAACCTTTTTCAAATAAAACTTGGAATGTTTCCTTAAGGTCAGCGCCTCCTCGACACAATGAAATATGGCAGCTTCACTTTATCTTACGAGCTATTTTTAATCAATTTAATGTCCATGGTGAACTACCTCTGTTTCCGGTGACTACTCATTCCGATGTAAACTCAACCTTATTTTATTTGAAAATTATGACGAAATTTAGTCAAATTTTTATTAAGTATTTTTAAAAAAAATGACTCTCTACACTCCTTAGCCCTACCTTCATAGAAAGCGGTCATTTACGGTGAACATTAATTTCGTTATATTTATCAATATTTAAAGAATTTTTCTGCTTGAAGATTTTTTTAAGCACTTGACCCCAAGCAAGACAGGTGTGCCACTAGTACGCAAGGGGCTACAGAGAGTGAAATAAGGGAAAAGACTGTGTATAGGGGTGGGGGTTTGAGGAAAGGATAAAAAGAAGAACGGGTGAGAATAAAAAGAAGGCAACTGAATAAAAAGAGATCAAGGCAACTGAAGATGCCGATTGACTTTAGATTTAAATTTTTGAAGATTATAGTTATCAGGGAAGCAAGTAAGAGGAAGGGAGTTCCACTGTTGGGAAGTACGAGAGAAGAAGCTGTTGGAGTAGAAGAGATGGTTACATTTAACTGTTTCGACAGTAAAAGTGTGGGACCAAAATGCCAGCCTATCATCCGCAAAATGTACTAACTGTTTAAATAACAATATATGCAATTCTATTGACTTGCAAACAAGATTATTCGTTAAAAATGAAGAAATATTAATGTTTACTGACTTATAAAGAAGACGAGCCTTTTAAATTAAATATTAACCTTATCAGTTCGATAAGGTAAAATTGGCGGTTGATGTCAAAAAAACTTCAGTTTGTTGTCAGCTGGAACAAAAAATGGCTTGTTAATTTTAACGCTCCAAAATTAAACAGCTCTCATCGGACAGACCCCTTTCCGCATTCCATCAACATGGCTGATGCTAACCTTCAGGGTGCACCTTTTAAATTGAATCCATTGCTATTTCTGCGGCTAACAAAGTTGGTTTATTGTGTTGTGCTAGAATGTTTTCTCTCCAGAATCTAATTTACATATTTATAATTCTACCGACCATTCATTCTTAGAATATTGCTGCCACATATGGTCCGGGGCTCCTGCAATTTACCTTGAAGTGTTTGATAAAATCTAAAGAAGAATCAGCAATATTCGTGGTCCTGATTTGGCATCTCGGCTTCAGTCACTTTCCCTATTCTTTTTCTATAAATACTCTCATTGTAATTGTTCAGGTGACCTCTTTGCTATGGTACTTAGACTTTATGAATTTAAGCGCAGTACTAGACTGGCGATGAGGTCTCATCAATTTACAGTTGAGTTGACTAGATGTAATCGTAAGTTCTATGCTAACAGTTTCTTCCCTCGTACTTCTCGCTTGTGGAACTCTCTCCTGGCTCCATTCTTTCCAGTCAAATTTAATCTTCAAAAATTTAATTGTAATCTCAATCGCTATCTACTGTCTCCCTGATTACTCTTCTTTTGTTCTTGCTCTTTAGTAGTGTTTCTGTTTTCTAATTCTTTCACATCCAGTAAACCCATCATGTCCAAGTGGCTTTACTGACTTGCTGGGAAGAAACCTATTAGGCAAAATTAAATGTATGTTCATAAATATTCAATCTGACGACAAAGTCAAAAATGGGTACATTTTTGGGGATACCCTGTTTAATTAAAATGTACACCATGGGCCCATATCAAAGAATCAATAATATATATATATATATATATATATATATATATATATTATTTATGATCAAGAGATCAGTAGATCAGACATGAAACAGGTTGTCGCCGCTGGCTGTTGACTTCAATGACCACTTTTATATTTGCATACGCTCTATCCCTAATATTGAGCACTTTAACATATGAATATATATAACATAAAACTATATTTTCGCATATATATATATATATATATATATATATATATATATATATATATATATATATATATATATATATATAGGGAGGGACACTGAAAGACTGAATGACTTTAAACAAAAACAACTCTTACAAACATACTTTTTTTTTATTTTTTATTATTTTATTTGGGTGGAAACATTTTTAAATCAAGTTTCAGAATCTTCTGGAGCGATTTTTAGCGATACCTAGATGAGCCTAGCGACGACGGGTAGAAGCTGATGGATCCTCAAAGGCATTCTACCTTGCAGCTTCCACGGCTGCGTCAGTGCGCACAGTGGGCTTACGAACTCTTCCCGGAAGATTGCCGTCTGATCCAGTCCCTTCAAACCGAGCGATTAGGTTTCGAATCCTGTTATTGCTAGGAGATACTCTGACATTAAAATGTTGCCGTTATTTTCTCTACGTTTGAATAATTGATCTTTCATTGGAATAGAAAAACCCAATGAGATTTACTTGTTACTGGACATCATACGTAGCCATTTTAATCTCAAGGGATGCACTATAATCTGGAAGAAAAAGAAAACGAACAATTTATGACTTTTCAGTTTTTCAGTGCTCCCTATATATATATATATATATATATATATATATATATATATATATATATATATTATTATTATTATTATTATTATTATTTTAACAGATTATAATAAAAACATGTTGGTATCGCTACCCAAAAGCTTTCATGCTTCAATTCTTTGATTGTACTTCTTCAGGCGATGGTAAGTAATTGGTGATTAAATGATTTTTAAGAAAATTTAAAAACAAAGATAAAGGTGGGGGAAAATAAGGTAAAAAATAAACATAGATTTATTGGTATGTTATGATTAACCAATTAAATACCAGATCTGTGCTAAATAGAAAAGTAAGGTGTTAGAAAAGTAAGCTCAGAGGTGTTATTTTATAACACCGGAACATAGACAAGCTATCATTAATAATTGCGGAAAATATGTAAGTAACAAATGTATCGTGACTGTAAATAAATATGACATGTTCAATTTCTGAAAGAACGTTGATGAGAGGGGTAGGAGGATAATCAGACGTAAAGTTAATTCCAACAGAAAAAAAAATTGATTCAGGAAGCTTCTTAAAGTGACCTTTAGATAAAATTAAAAATGTGGAACATCTATATAAAATATTAATAATACTAACTGGATGGCAATACATAGCAATATTAAAACTGAATAAACAAAATAAGATAATTACCCGTAAAGGGTGGACCATTTTTTACTAATGAATTATGGCTATGAGAAATGGTAATACATAATTTTTAAAAAATTAAATATTTTAAGGTAAAGATAAACTGTGTCGGCAGTTTACAGTTAATTCATTCCTTTGGTCTAATTAGGGATTTTTTGTCAGCAAATTTGATAATTTCTAGTTTTTCATATAAACATTAGAAGCATGGATCATTTAAAGATTTACAAGTTCGAGTTTTTTTAGTATTTTCCATTCTACTCTAGAGGTTTTCTTAACTTCTTTTAAATTCCAAAAATATTTAGAATGGGACGTCCTATTTCTGTACGCGTTATTGTTGAAAGATAGTATATGTTGGTGCCACCTAGTTTTAAAGGAATTCTTAGTACTCCCGATATAAAATCCTTTAACTGTTGGATTTTCTATAGTACACATAGGGCTTAGGTAGACAAGAGAGTCTGTGGATATCGGTTTTGCAATGGATATTCATTAGAAATTCTATAATTACATTTGTTGGTATTAACTGCGTTTGTTGCTTTGGAATAGGTATTATTACTCAGGCTTTTGTATTGATTTAAAATTTATTATTAGGTTTTTTAATAATTTTGTCAAGATTATCGTTCTAATTTTGTACTAACCATGTGGGGGGGGGGTGTACCAAACGATCTTTCTGCTTCTATTTTTATTTTTACGATCGGTGATGTTATGTTTCATATATTTTATGTCAGGGCACTTATAATCATCACTTTCTAAGGCAGTGTTATAAATATTAGTATGCTTGTAAAAGACATCTTCACTGGAAGAGTTATTGCTAATCCTATATTATATGGAATTTTACTCCATCTGTTCTTTTTCTCATTTGGGTATATATATATATATATATATATATATATATATATAACTCCGTTATATAACTTCGAGCACTGTTTCAATAACACCACCACTTTATATGGATTTCATATATTTAATTATATATATATATATATATATATATATATATATATATATATATATATATATTAAAGACATATTTTATGTTTAACGTTGTTATTTTATAGATACAAGTATTTAAGCAAATCCTCTGTTTATGATAAACAGTATTAAATAACATTTACCGGCCTGAATGTCCGAGAGAAATTTTCATAGAAAATTTTCGTTCTTTGACAGGATTCGAACCTGCATCCTATACGGAACCGTCATATACGCTGACGTGCCTTACCGCTTAGGCTACAAAGAAGCGTTCGGTAGACAAGGTCAATTTACTGTATAAACTCAATTTTCCATAATCTCGTACATTCATAACTTTTCGTATCGAATGTAAACAAATGACGTCATATATTGAAATGGACAAGGTCCGACAATTTATTTATTAAAACCCATGTTTAACGTTATTTTATAGATACAAGTTTTAAGCAAATGCTCTGTTTTATGATAAACAGAAAATAACATTTACCGAAAAAATTTTCATATGAAAATTTTCGTTCTTTGACATTCGAACTAGCATCCTATACGGAACGAAATGTTATTTGAAATTTCGTGCCTTACCGCTTTATGCTACAAAATATGTTTTCATAAACAGAGTCATTTGCTTAAATACAATTTTCCATGTATCTATAAAATAACAACGTTAAACAAAAATATGTCTTTAATAAATAAATTGTCGGACCTTGTCCATTTCTTAATATATATATAAAGAGAGAAGTGAAAGAGCAAGAAATCGATTGAAGAT